CTGCCTACACATTCTACACAAAGTAAAGTTCCTGCTGATGGTTACTCAATTTGTACAAAAACTGAATTCCATACAGACATCCTTCTCTTTTTAATATTAATTTATGCACCAGTTTTTAAATATTTACCATTAGTTATTTGGTTCAGAATATTGTGAAAAAGTCAGCTAGGAAATTATTCATAAAACTGTATTCTGTATTTTTTTTTTATTTTTCAAACAGCAAGTGTCCACATTTAAAATGCAGAATTTGCAAATATAAATTAGTCTAATAATTCAATTAAAAATAAAACAAAACAGCTTCCTTTAGTATCACAATACATAAAATGGTATTATAAACTCCAAGTGGCAAGGTTAACTACATGACAACAATGCCAGAAGCTGTGAAACTCATTAAACCACTTAATGAATAGGTCAGTTTAAAGAACATTTCTATGTTCCATGACTATGCATGAAACAAGCTTTCATTGTATTATAAAGGCTCAGCAATTCATTCATGGCATAATACGGGGTCAAGCAAGATTTTATTTTTACAATGACAATTAAAAAATGCATTTAAACAAACAGAAGTCCTCCCAATTGTTTGAAAACAATTCTCTTTGGAGGGTAAAATATATTTTAAAGCACACTGACTTACCAAATTTCAATTGTCAGGCTGCTGACTACTGAGCAAAAATTTGTATTTAAAAATATCACAAATATCTTTAACAGTGAAAACTTCAATGTGGTAAGTTTCATTGCAAAGTAATTTTCACCTGAGTAGATTTTGAAATTTAGTGCTCATATATTTGGGGGGAGGTGGGGAAGGAAAGACCCACTTGTCCAAGATACTAAGTTTATAGTGGATTCCTTCACATAGATAACCCAGAGGGTTGAAGAAACATCTGCTGTGACCTTCCCAGGACACATGATGCCCCTTTCTCCTGGAAATTTGTTCTGATATTACGAATTCTCAGTATCCATAATATTTCCACTTAGTTACCCATTCAAGCATAGCAACCCAATTCAGTTTTATACAACAGTGTCTATAATATGTACAGGCTTAATTATGAATAAGAAATAGAAAATAAAAATTTACAGTGATTGAGAAAGGGTCAGAAAACGGGATAGGAAAAGTAATACTGTATAATCAGAATATCCTATTATCCTACCAGTTTTAATGACAGGGTTTTTCCTTTATTAGTTGAAATACAAAGAAGGCATAGGGGATCCCAGGAAAATAACACTATATATCAGAAAATTCAACGTGCTCCACCATCAGGATTTCCATCACACATTTAATTTCTTCTGTACAATTTTTATAAATGTGTTTTTCTTTTCAAAACCGTCAGATTTCCAGATTAAATTCAGCACTACACAGTATGCCCTTGAAGTAAAATGAGGTTACCTGCTTTATTTGGATACCAAGTTCCCTTCCAGACAGCATTAAAATAAAGACAAGACTACACAGATAAAATCCAGTATAATTCAAATCCAACAATGAAAAATTCCCCCCATATTGTTGCAAAATTCATTCTACTGAAATGCTTTGCTACAATAATAAAAAGCATACATTACATATAAAAGATACCAGTGTACTAAAAAGTGACAGAAGTGGACTAGCAAATCCTTCAAAGCACATTATATAAATGACTAGCATTTAAAAACATTTCTCCTATAAAATGTAGGTCATATACATTTATAAATTGGCGGTTTTATTTCTAAAGCAGTGATGTGTGTGTTCAAATAGTTAGCTGTTCTGTACAGTATAATATCTACTCAATTCAAACTACAATAGGTTTGTCTTTCTTTGTATTGAAGTTGAATAAATTCATCTGTTCAGCTGAGAAATCAAGCTTGAAAAATACATATCTAAAAATCAAAGTAGAAAGTTTAGAATTACTGAAATGTAGCTATGAAATATGAAGAGAACTATGTCACAATGGAGCTGAAGTCACCTCCAAACTTATGGGCTTGAATCTAAAACAGAAACAAATATTAAATCCAAAGCAAACCACAAAGTTAGGTAGCAGTACAGAAGCAGGAAAAAAAACAAAAAACAAATAAAAAAAAAACCACACCCCCTTCCTTCAGTGTGATGGGCACTAAGTTTTGCGGTCTTCCTCCATCTTGCAGAAGAGTGGTAAGGCCATTCAATGCTTAGTGAAAGTGAGTACAGATGAAGTCAGATTTAGCCTGTCTCCCCTGCAACTTCAATTATGCTGTGTAAACAGTGTTATGTTCCAGTAGGAGGAACAATGGAATTTACTTATAAAAACTGATTAAAGGTAATCATTATTAAATGAAATAAGGAGAATAACTCTGAAATGTTTTTAGAACTTTCCTGATGCTACTTGTACAGTTAGCACTGCTATGTATTATTGCTTACGTACAGTACAACATCATATGCCTTCTAACATAAAGCAGTACTGTGATTTGTTTGTACATATTTACAGATTCTTAAAAACAAGCTGTAAAAACATTACATACTTTCAGACAATACAAATTAGCACATTGGTACTCACTTCAAAACAAATGGAATGCATAACATTAATAAACATCATAAAGGAAGACTCACATAAAAGTCCTTGATTGTCAAGACACGTTTATATATAAACTCTAACTGTGCAGAATTAAAGATTCAATCATAGGTACATCCTTATTTGATGAACCGTATTTACAGCATGGTATTGCATAAAAAAATAAAATAATGTTTACAGGGTTTTACTTTTTTATCCATTGGATTAAAGAAAGCAACAAACACAACAAGAAATGTTTGTCTGCTTTAGTTTGTTTCCTACCAACGTTTAAGTGAAAAAAGGAAACACGGTTTTATTTGCAGAATATAGCAAAACAACTGGAAAATTATTTCCCTGAAATAAAGCAATTTGAAACGGAAAAAGTTTAAATTAAATTGCAGTGTCAAAAAGTTTCTCATTGATTATAATAGTGCTTCTTCAAGTAATTATACTGTGAAAAAACAAGTTCTAGTTTAAGATGTTCTATGTCTAAGAAATGTGGTACTACAGTAATGCCTACTTTTAAAGTTTCCCGGCTTTTTTTTTTTTTAAACAGCCCTTTAAAAACCCAAATTGATAAAATGAAAGAAGTGGCAAAAGATCTAACCTACCTGGCACTTTGCAAGTTTCTCTCCCCTGTGGTAATGAAAGCCTACCCTGAGCACAAGACCTCTTTTGCCTGTCAGAAAGGGAAAATTACCCGACCACTGACAGTCCTCAGCCAGAGCTAAAAGGATGGATTTGTATGGTATCAGAAAGAAAATCTGCAAGGACATCCAAAAGATTTAAGAGCCACTCAAATATTCTGAACCAAATGAATATGTGTACAATAAGAAGTCAAAAAAAAAAAAAAAGCTTTACAAGATGTTCAACAGAGATTACCTCATCTAACCTGATCTGCTTCCAATCTTCAAACAGGAGAGTAGGTCCTAAGTGCAAAAGCATACCTCACTCACATTGACCAAAAGTTTAATGGTATAAGAGCATGTTTTAATGGAACACTTTGCTAACTGAAATGAAAAACACAAATTGCAGAAGGATTATCTCATATCCTCAATATTCTGATCTACAGCAGCACATAAAGGCTACTTACTTTTTACTATTAATGCCCAGATACAAATTAAGTAACTTTCTAAAGCAAAGTGGGGAAACCCAAACTGTTGAGATGTTTATCCTATGATGATAATACAAGGTAATTCTGGTAGGCATTTAGAATTTCACAGTAAGAGAGCCACAACTACTATACTTAAATGGTACGTCAATAACTTATGTCAAAGTATCAAATGCTTACAATGTGGTAGAAAAGTCTGCCATTATGTATATTTAAAGAAATGTGCCGAAGACAGGAATGCAACACCTGAAATTTTGCTTGCGTAACTACCATTTTCAAAGGCCTGCCTTCCTTGGCTTACCCTAACTGCTCAGCAGTAGAGTCACACTCTAAAAAAACTGTGCTGGTGATATTAAAGCAAACAAAAACTGTATACTATACCAGGACTGAACAAGTTGTTGAAGAACAAAATTTTTGACCAGGCTCAAAAAAAGAAAAAGAAAAAAGGAAAAAGGAAAAAGGAAAAAGGAAAAAGGAAAGAGAAAGAAGAGAAAGAGAGAAAGAGAAAGAGAAAGAAAGAGAAGGAGAAAGAGAAAGAGAAAAAAAGAAAAAAGAAAAAGAAATCAACTCAGGAAATAAATGCCTATTATCAAATAACAGTATGAGAAAAATATAAATACCTATATAGCATGAGCACAGTTCCATTTTTCACATCTCACCTGAATAGAGCCTTCTTGCAATTGCATGATGTATAACACAACACACACTATTCTTCAAAGTCAGTAACGGCAGAACTTAAACATCTACCTCAGAGAAGTCTAAAATTCTTGAAAAGTTTGGCAGCAAAGAAAGCTGTCAAATAGGAAAATTAATATTTCAAGCAAAGCTTAATAACCAAAGTACAGAGGAAACCACATTAAACATAATTTATATTCATTATCATAAAACACCAAAATATTCAAAATAAATGTAAAAGATGTTAAGGGTTGATATTTTCTTTGTTCCCTTTATGAGAACAGTCTTGGGATAACATTAAATAAAAGAAACAATAATTTAAATGTGTAACATTCTATACTGAAACAAAGACTGCAGATCTATAGGGCCAATATAAAAGTTAAAGTGGAAATTAGCAACAATAAAGTTTCACCTTCCAAGAATATTAATTTTAGAGTATCACTGGTGCTACATCAGTATGTGCATTGTGACAAAGATGGTGGAAATTAAAATAAGCAAAAAAGTTGGAACAAATTAAAGAGGATAATAAAATCAATAGAAGTAATGTTATTTTCCAAAAATTAAAACTGTCCAATGTGTAACTCAAACCATCATTCTTTAGAAAAGTATACATATGTGTATATATAAAAGCACTATTTATGGTACCATGCTGTATTATTTTAAGACAAAGTATATATATATATATATATATATTAAAAAAAAAAAAAACATTCGTGGTATAAGGATAAAGTCTGTAGTTTATTTAGATTTTGAAATGCAACAAAAAGTTTCCGATCACTCATCTAGCTGAAAAAGAAATTGTAGTTACTAGAATTAGTAAACACTTTTGGTTTGTAAAATTGTAATGAGCAGTGTTCATTAAAAAGTAATTCAAGATAAAATAAGCAATTAAAATGCCCATTTCTTTAGTTTCTCTGGATACTGTTTAATTATCCAATCTATCAAGATTCTAGAAAGAGAAGGATTAAACCAGGTTTTACAGTTCCAAAGATATCCAATTTCCTTTTATTGCCAAAAATTAAAATTGTCAATTATGAGATGATTATGACACAACCATATCAAACCTAAAAATCTAATTTTTTTTTTTACTTTGAGAAATCAAAAATACCAAATAGATTCTAAGTGCTCTATGTTAACTGAAGTGTATATGTAAAGTAAAATACAATTAAGCTTTAAAACGTGGAATATACATTTTGTGTAAGCATTATGTTCTTGGGAATGTAATCTACAGAATATCTTTTTACTAAAACTTCAAAACCTTGATACCTGCACATGAAAAATCATAAAAAATATCTAAGTACAACTGTACAAAGAAACTGACACCAATATGCATACTTCCATTGAGAAGTGAATGCTTCAACAGTTACGTATTTTGGTAAAAGTTTTGAAAGTATGCATATTTTAAAAGTAATTAGGCTTTTAAATAGTGGAGTCTTAGACTATCAGATTTTTATTACTTTCTTTTCTCAAAAAAAAAAAACATGTCAATATAATGCAAAATGAAAATCAAGGGTATATGGCATATCATTCTTTTTAAACGGTGGTTTCTTGGTTTCTTTTTTTCCTCCTATAGGACACACTAATTTATTTAAGCCATAATCTCTTGACATTTAAACTCTGAAGTTCACTCTGTCTGTAAAGTATACTCAGATTCCCTGCTGAAGTGCAATGACTATGCTGAAAAACTTAGAAACAGTATGAGTAAATTTCACACAATTACTAATCTCCTAAGAATGTACAATGTTATCAATTAGGAAACAATTGTGCGAAAGTCTTTTTTTTTTCCTTTTAAACTCGGTGTAGGTGGAATAGCAAGTTTCTGTTCTAAAACAAGTAATGCATTGCTTCTATAAAGGTGACAACATGTAAGGCAGTTCAAAGAATGCTGACTAACCAAACAAAATGCAGTTATTGGATTATCTTGCTATTCATATCAGCTTAACTTGTTATAACGCATTGCTCTTAAATCTGTACAGCACTCCATTTACACAGAGTAACCCCACTCTTGATTAATCTGTTCTAAAGTGCCAGTATTATTTACACTTTTTTTTAGCCAAAGGTCTGGCCAGTTGTAGCATCAGGTGAAGATGTCATCCCAGCTCTATTATCATTTACATTCACCAAGGGAAATTCTGGAAATTCAGCACTTGTCCCTGGTCCCCGAAGGTTCACCTGTCCATTGGCAGTGCTAAACTGAGTAGCTATTCCAGCTCTTGATCCATGATATGGAGCGCGGAAGGGCTGTTCAAAGGAGCTCATTTGGTAAGCTTGGTGGACAGGCTGAGCCTCAGCTTTTTTCTGAGAAGTCACTTGATCCAAAAAGTCCTGTGTTGATGTGGCAGAAGCATGGTTTGTCTCATCACCTGAAAAGGGAAATGAGTGCTGTGAATCACCAACTATTAGTCCAAAGTGGGACTTATCTGGAGTTGTTCTTAGTGGAGAATTCATTCCTGATCGAAAGCTATTGATGGGCATGGCTGCATAGACTTGCTTGTCTATGGAAGAGAATGCTGGCTGATTTGGAAGGGTCTGGTTATCAGTCACAAAGTTAAGGCTCGGGCTATTCAAATAGGCATCATTTTGGCTAGTTCTGTCCAAAGCCTGCTGCAGAAACTTTGAGTATTCCTGCAACATGTTGGCTTTATCTGATGAGGATGCTTGGGAGCTTGATCCAACATTCTCTGCCTGGGTGACCTCAGGTACTTCTGAAGAATTTATTGATATGCTAGAAGTCACCTCAGTGTCTGCAACACTGAATGATATCTCATGCTGTCCATTAGCTTTATGAGAGTAATGATCCAAGAGAGTCTGCAGTACCTCATCTGGAATAACATTTTTGTCATGGTTACTCTTAATCTCCACATTCAGTGCCTGTGAATCTAATATGGATGCCGTAGTACTTTCATCAATGACACTTGCCACAGCTGCTTGTGTTACAGAAGGCTGAGAAGCTATGGTGCCCACATTCAGCGCATACTCCCTACTATTGTTACTTGCCGCTTGAAGGTATCGTTTCTTCTTCAAAAACTGCATGGCATCATCATAATTAGTACTACTGTGCACAGGTTTACTGGGCCCCTCCTGCAAATTATCGACCTGATCAATATCAGCATTGCCCTCTGAGTCCAGTAAAGCTTGTTTATCCACAAGTTCAAAAGCATACTTTGAAACTTTGCTCTCTTCATATGTGGATAAGGGAGAAATTGTTTGATTCTGCTCCAATGGCTGCTTCAGACTTCTCTTACTATTAATTTTTTTGAGAACCAACTTAGGTGGATGTATTTCTCCTGATGCATCTTCTAAATGCGATCCCCCAACTGAAGAATGTGGCATTTCAACAGCATACTCTGCTACCATATACTCATCTTTTACTTTAGTACTTGAAGAATAAAGGGGCAGGTAATCATTTTTGTCTTTCTTCAGGTCAGATTTGTCCAAAGCACTTTCTTTGTCCATCCCAGATGATTTTTTCTCAGTTTTCTGCCTTTTCTTTTTTGGCAGTGAGTTATCTTTTGGTGATGTAGAAAAGCCAGAATCTTCCTCAGATGTCAGAAGGCCACCTTTGATGGCACATCTGTTTAGCTTTTTGTCATGATTTTCATGGCACATACGTTTATGTTTCAATACACGATCTGTTCTGGAAAAATACTGTCAAATTCAGATTTCAGCAGTGAGTTTTTGTTTTAGTTTGTGTTTTTCGTCAAGCAAGAAAAGAAAAGAAAAAAGTAATTAATATAAAAATAGAAGCAGAATAATATAAGCAAATCCAAATGAATTTGTTGAGCCGTTTGCCAATTATAAATCTAATCAACAGCAGTTGGGAGGTTCTTCAAACAGTTCTAGTAATGACATTTTCTAATTTACTAGAATGATTTTATAATTTAATTTAGGATAGAAGAATTTCAATGTCCATCATACCTCAGCAAAATGGTTAAAAAAACAAACATTTTAAACCACCCCTTACCTGTAAACAGTATTCACACTGGTAAGGTTTTTCTCCACTATGAGTTCTCTTATGCCTTTCCATGTGATATTTTTGTATGAATCTCATACCACATTCATCACAGCGAAATGGTTTTTCACCTAGTACATGATATAGAAAGTTTAAAACAAAACAAGTGTTATGACAAAAACTCTACCCCTATATTAAATATATCTTCCAATTTAATTTGTAAAAAATATTTTGCTTTGGGGTGCCTGGGTGGTTCAGTTGGTTAAGCATCCGGCTCTTGATTTCAGCTCAGGTCATAATCTGTTTGTGAGATGGAGCTCTGAGTCAGGCTCTGCGCTGACAGCATGGAGCCTGCTTGGGATCCTCTCCTCCCTCTCTGCACCCCCCCCCCCCCCAGCATGCGTGCTTGTGCATACTCTTCCTCTCTCTCTCAAAATAAACATACATTAAAAAATATTGTGCTTTATAAAAATAAAAGATTGGCATGTGCCATTGGGAAGAAAAGACTGAAAGTAGGCATACTCAATTTCCCTGCCTTTCTATTATGTGTGTACATAACACACTCTCTGTGGAGACAAACAGTACCAGGAACTTACAGCAAGATGGACATGGTTTTAGTAAGAGGAGTTGAAGCTTTTAATCTTTTTTATTCAATCATACAAAATACTATTTTAGAAAATTTTTTGAAAAAAGAAAATGTTACCCATACATAGTCCAACACAATGCTTGGATACACCTTTTCAATTCTTCATTTCTTTTCAACAAATATTTGTGGTTAAATGAAATCTGAATCCTAGGAAATAGTCTTAAAAATCTAATTCATTAAAACATAAAAAGAACTTAAATTACAGACTAAATTTCAAAAGGTTTGTTTATAACTGATCACTTTTCTCAACTCAAACCAGAATTTCTCAGGTCCTTTTTTTGGCAGGGAATGAATCAAACCAAGTACTGGTCATCAGACACATAACCCCGGCTTCCACCCCCTCCATTTTGTTTTAAAGTGTCATAAGGACTTTTTGGCTGTAAGGAACCATTACTATGGAGATCTAAAATAGTTTTTACTGATAAAACCACAGTAAACAGAAGGGTGTGATAATAAGTTACCTTGAATAGTATGTTTTTGGGAAGCAACTGTTTTCATCTTTCACACATTTGACAAAATCTTATGGAATACTTGCTCTCTAACCCATAACCCTGCTGCAGGTGATTAAAAGTGTAAGATTCATTACTTGTCTTCATAGAGCTTGGGAAAACAAGACGCACACATTAGACAACTAACTAATAAAACTATGTCCAGCTCCAGTTTACTTTTACAACGTTTTATCTCACTACCTTTCTTCTTAAAACTTTTCCTCCAGCCAAATCAAAATACCTACCATCTTGTGCTTTTCTACCTCTGCTACAATTCACACTGCTCCTTTAGTCAAGAATGCCTACCCCTGTGTGTTCAGGCACTACATTCCCTTCAAGTTCCAACCCAAATCTTCTGAGATCCTTTGTCCTATTCTTTCAAGGAAAAGTATTTTCATCTTCTTTAAATTTCCATAGAACTTCATCTGTGGCTCTCCTATGGCACTCATTAATTCATCTCAGTAATTATTTTGTACATCTCTATTCTACAAGATCACATTTAAGGGCAGAATCTGAGCCTAAATTATCTTTATGTAGCTCAAAATATTTTGTGCACTTAAGTGTCAAACGAATGGCATAAATGATTATTAGAGTGGATTACTAGTGGGAAAAATGTTACTGAGCTGGTATGATTTGGAAAAGCTTCTTGCCGGTGTTAGAATTTAAAGTGAATAGCACTTAAAGAGACTGTGTATGTAATTAAAGCCAAAGAAAGAAAATGTAGTGGGAAACAGAGAAACTAAGGGTTTAGTTACTATAAAACGTCAAGGAGAAATGGTGCCTAAGAATATAATTTAATTTGGTGACAAGTAAATTATTTGAAACTTTCAAGAATGCAACTTCTGTAATTGCTATGGAGTTACCAAATTTTAGGGCCGAAGGGACCTTGTGGTAGCTTTCAAACTGTGCCACTGGGGGCTCCACAGAGACCCCCAAAGGCTGATGATGTTGTGGCAAATGGCTCTAAGAGTGCCACCCAGATTTCAAGACAGAATAGTTCCACTTCTATATAATAGGGTTTTGAGTACGGACTTCAATGGTTCAGAGGCTAGATTAAGATTAACACAAGTAATCAAGACCAATTCACTTATTCCACAAAACAAAGAAATAATCGAAGCTGGGAGAGAAGATAACTTATTAAGAAAGTTTGGAAGTGAAAGAAATGAGGAAAAGGAGATGAGAAGTAATAATTAGGAGGCAATCTATTTAAGATCAAGTAGTGTTAGAGACTGAAATTAATTTATTTGAAGGCAGAAGGGAAAGAGCCAGTGAAGGAGAGAAATGGAATACTGAACTAAGATTAAAATGAAATATTATCATTAATAATCAAAAGAACAAGATCTCAGAGGACTTAAGATGAAAAGGGAAGGAGAGTGCAGATATTTTAGAATAAAAGAAAAAAACAGTTGCATATTTTGACACAGAGAATGTAGATGATAGAGTTTATTGAGCTCACAAGTGAAAGTCACTTCTCAAAAGTGAGAAAGGATAAAAGAGAAAATTAGTGGACTGATAAGAATTCATTTAATGCTGCACGATATTCATGGACTGGCAGACTTAATACTGTTTAAGACGGTTAATACTCTCCAAGCAGATCTACAAATTCAAAGCAGAAATTGAGAACCTGATCCTAACATTCATTTGGAAATGCAAGGGATCCAGAATAGCCAAAACAATCTTGAAAAAGAAAAACTAAGTAGGGAGACTCACACTTCCTAATTTCAAAACCTACTACAAAGCTACAGTAATAAGATACTGTGGTAATGGCATAAGGATAGACATAGATCAAGGAATAGAATTGAGAGTCCAGAAATAGATCTTTACATTTATGGTCAACTGACTCTCAACATAGGTGCCAATAGACTTCAACGGGGAAAAAATCGTTTTGTTTTGTTTTTTCAACAATGATGGTGGACTAATTTGACACTCACATAAAGAATAGAGTTGGACCCCTACCTCGCATCATATACAAAACTTAACTCAAAATAGATCATAGGCCTAAATGTGAGAATGAAAACTATAAAACACTCAGAGGAAAACATAGAAATATCATGACCTTGAATTAGGTAATAATTTCTTAGATATGACACCAAAAGTCCAATCAACTAAACAAAAAATACAATGAACTTCATAAAAAATGTTTAATTCTTCAAAAAACACTATCAAGAAGGTAAAAAGAAAAAAAGGTGTAGCTCCTGTGGGAAACAGTCTAGCAACCCCTCAAAATATTAAACACAGACAATTCTACTCCTATGTACATACCCAAAGAAATAGAAAACAACGACTCACTCAGATGCTTGTACCCCAATGCTCACAGAAACAGTATTAAGAACAGCCAAAAGATGGAAACAACCCAAGTGTCCATCAAAGGATGAATGGATTAGCAATATGTGATATATACATACCATGATATATTATTCAGCCATAAGAAGAAATGAAATTCTGATACATGCTACAACATGGATGAACCTTAAAGAAATTATGCTAAATGAAAGAAGCCAGACACAAAAAAGACAAGTATTGAATGATTCCACATAGATGAGGTTATCTAGAATAGGCAAATTCACAGAGACAAAAGTAGAATAGAGATTACCAAGGCCTGGGATAGGGAGGAAAGGAGAGTTGTACTACTTAATGGTTAGAGGTTTTCATTTGGTCACATAATATTTTAAATGTACTTCATGCCACTAAATTGTATGCTTAAAAATGATTAAAATGCTCAACTTCATGTTGTGTTGTTTTTTTTTTTTTTTTAAGTGAAAAGATAACTTCTGGAATGGGGTAAAATATTTGTAAATTATGTACCGGATAAGGGATATGCATCCAGTATATGAAATGAACACTTACAACTCAACAGTTAAAAAGACAATCTAAGAATAGGCAATAGATCTGAATAGACAGTTCTCCAAAGATATGCAAACAGTCAAGAAGTACTTGAAAAGATGCTCATCATTGTTCATTAGGGTAATGCAAATCAAGACCACAACGAGATACTTCACACCCAATAGGAAAGTTAAAATAAAAAAGACAATCACAAATGTTAGCATGGATGTAGAGAATCTGCCCATATTTTCAAGACATATTTGTAGTTTCATCTTTTACATTAAATCTGATATATCTGGGGTTCATCCTGAGGTCCAGATGACTATCTAGTTTTCCCAACACCATTTACTGAAAAGTTCCACTTTTTTCGATCACTTCTTTAATCAAAATCATATACTAGTAAGTTCCATGGGTCTATTTCTAAACCTTCTATTCTGTTCCATTGGTCTGACTGTTCATAAGCCAGAAAGAAAATGTTTTATGACTTTATAATACATTTTATCATCTGGTAGGGCTAATCCCCCTCATTGTTGTTCTGGTTTATCCACTTTGCATATTACTTCAAAATTAACTTGTCTAGTAACTGCAGTAGGAAAGGGAGAGCTGCCTGAAATATTTACGTTAACTTATTAAAAAATTGGTATCCCTGGGCACCTGGGTGGCTCAGTTGGTTAGATGTATGACTTCAGCTCAGGTCATGATCTCGCAGTGAGTTTGAGCCCCGCGTCTGGCTCAGTGCTGACAGCTTGGAGCTTGGAGCCTGGAGCCTGCTTCAGATTCTGTGTCTCCCTCACTCTCTGCCCCTCCCCCACTTGCACTCTGTCTCCCTCGCTCTCTCTCAAAAATGAATAAACGTTAAAAAAAAATTTTTTTTAATTGGTATCTTTTATGATGTTGACCTTTCTTACCACTAAATAAATAAATAAATAACCAACCAACCAACCCAGGGCGGGGGGGCGGGGGGGTGGGGAGGAACAGGGAAGGGGAAATATGTCCTTCCATTTCATCAAGTTTTGTTTTGTGTCAACAGTGTTTTAGTGATTTCTTCATATGGGATATCCCACATTTCTTATTGTTGATACTGTAAAAAAGGGTGTTTTCTTCTGTTATATCTTCTACTGTGGGTGTGTATATACAAAGTGTATGGTTTTCTGTTTTACTGAATTTACTAGTT